TGCAAACACATATCTATATATACATGTATGGAAGTGAATACATACATATATCCATCACCAAAACAGGGTATTGTGTCTTTTTTCTCCTAACCCCAAATAGAATAGTGATGGTGTGGTCGCAGTTTTAGCAATCTGATTATGCTGAAAATGGAGTAAAGATAATGACCTAGACTAAAGACAGCGTTTTCAAAGTGTGGCCTATTGCCCACTGTTAGCTGTTGGTAACCTGGTAACCTTTTGTGCAGGCAACTAGGTTGACAAGCTTGACAAACTTCTGTTCATTTCCTTCGTCCACTTTATATTGCACTGTGATATAGCTGTTTACAATAAGATCAGACGGATGAATTTTGACTCCTCTGTACTAGTCATCATAGCAGACTAAACGCTAATGAAGAAAAATATAGCTGCTGTCTGGAAAATGGCTGCTCAGTAAGGGTTAGAAAGCTTGTTTTTCAAAAACCAACAGAAACTTCCACCCTAAACTGAAATATTAGAAAAATGTACAAACAGACAAAGGGTTTGTGTGTGCAGTTTTCTTTTGTAGACTTTAATCAAAAGTGATTCCCTTAATTTGGCAACCTCTTGTCTAAATAAGTCTGTATATGTAATTTAGAATATTTAGATTGACTTCTTAGCTTCACAAATAAAGTACCAAAAAGTCTAAACTCTGTAAGTTGATGAAATCGCTGTGAATGACGTTAAAACCCATATTTATAGTGTTTCATTGGAGTCAGTGACCTTTAGTTTGCATTATTGTGGGACAAATAAATGTCTTATTTTCTTCTTCTGGCAGCTGGTTCCTTTAGAGGTCGCCACAGCAGATCAAGATTCAAGTTTATTGTCATTTCACATGGTATTTACAGAAATGCACAGGTTGAAACAAAATATTGTTTTTCACCAGCCTCTACAGTGCAATAATCAGGAAAGAATAACAATACACTAATAAAAAACCTAAAATGAGGATAAATAACAATCAAAAAGCAGCTTTCCAAAACACTCAGCAAACTCAGGTGTAAACAATCACACTCTTTCAGCAGAGTCATCTGTGCATCTGCCTTTATCTTATCCAATACCTAGCAATTGGGTGGGTAAAGGGCTGTCCCAAGCATGTCTGTCCAGACTACAGCCTCACAACAGGCAAGTGGATGGACACCTGTCCATTAATCTTCCCATTCTTCAGGTCAGTTCTTAAATAGATACCTGGAGATAAAGAGGGTAAAGACTGATTAGCTGAAAGGCCATTGTCTCACACATGCAAGTGAGTCTATTTTGGAGACGGGAACAATTATTTTCTTATAATGTTAATATAATATAAGTCACTTTTTAAAACATAATTGGAGTGTTAGTATATTATGTTGCATGAAATATTTATTGCATGTAACTGCATGCTATGTAGTATACATTGCAAATGTAGCTTGTGGTATAATTATACTATTTTTATGTTAAATAAATTTAAACAAGACGTGAAGCATTAAAATATCAACCAAAAGCTGCCTCCAAAGTAAAAGAGCACACTAATGGACATTGACTTATGCAACCGCACACCACATGCAAACACACATGCAGATGCATACACATGCAGAGCCATTTTCCCCCCTTATTTCTCAGCAGCAGTGCAGTCAGCTGCAGGTCACATGACTGGCTTGCCTAGTCTCACTGAGCATGCTCAGACACCTCAGTGTTGTCAGGCAAAATATAAGAGAGCAGTAAGAGCAGAGATCTGTAATAGATAAACACATAGGCTCTTACACACGCACACACTAGCTGGCTTGCCCACAGACGCACACCACAAGCATTGAGAAATAGACACTTTAGAATTTAGGATTGTGGCTCTGGTTTGGTTTTATTTGAAAGGACTTATTGTCATCTATCATTTCAGTGGAAAGCAGCCACCGAGAGAGAGGCAGGTGTGCCCTTTAAGAGGGAGAAAAGCTGAGGCAAGGACAGCATCCCAGTCTCCATCCTCTGTGGAGGTAAGTGTGGATGGATGGGGTAGGTGGGGGGGTTCCAGAGCATGGGGGGAGGGGAAAATACGCCTGACTGCCTCTGTGTTTAAGCTAAATAGTTATAAAAGGAGGAATGGGGACGGCTAAATGTGTGTTTGTGTGGGGGTGGGTGCTGTGTCAGTAACTATGGGCATGTGAGACGACAGAGGCTCCAGGAATGGCGGGTTAGGGAGCTGGGAGGATGTAGATGCTAGCACGGTTGAGAACAGCAAGGCAGCAGGCATATAGAGAAAAGAGAAGAAGCTAAAGAAGAAGATATGGTTTTGAGAGTAGCAGTGTTTAATGAGAATTTACTTGTGTGCTATTGTTGTAAGAAAGGGTGTTTTACAACAATGAGAAGAGCATGATCATGACAGACTCACAAAAACAGACACCCATAATTTTCATGTAGACGTACTGAAATAGGCCTAGTCAAAGAAGACATGAAAAATTGGTATCCTTTTTACTATACTGACCTATATATCCCATGAATGGCTTTGTGTATATCTGTTCTTTTTTGTCTTTGTCTTTTTCAAGGCGTTCAGTCTCATACTGCTAAGCTATGTTGTCACCTTGCCGTGTTTTACACCCCTCCTAGATCATTTCCTATTTTGTTAATTTTTCATTCATTTTATTGTTTGATGTGGGCTGGACTATGTAAATTGTAATTTTCAGCAGTGCATTATTTACATATCTAACAGAAGGGAGCGACTGGATCATTTAGATATTTTTGGCAATCATTGTGACTGTTGTTTCTTTTGAGGCAGCTATTGTTTTCTTGCGTTAAAAATTACTTAAAACTCTAGTGCTCTTTTTAGGCTAACTCGGGGGAAATTAGCTCAGAAAATATATATTTTTTCCACATTTGTTCCTCACTCTCATAACAATAAATCGCAGTCTAACAGTGCAGTGAGAGAAGTAAATGTGCTGCTTTAGCCTTGTGTCTACAACAGGTAAGGCCTATAAAAACCTTTGCTGCTTTCATATTTTTAGGTTAAATTCCTGGAAAAAAAAAAACAAACAAAAAAATGGAAACATCCTTGGAACTGAACGTACTGCACATATCTCCCACACATTCTCTCTGCAGTGATTAATGCCACTCTGAAAGAAGGCAGAGATGGCTGTTGCTAGGATACATGGCAAGGTGAAGTGCAGAAGATTTAAAGAAAAGAGGAGGAGGGCACCGTTTACAAAGCATGGCGTCACTTGCAGTGGCCTCTTTGTTTCTTGTTTTATTATTTTTTTGTTTTGTTTTGTTTGTTTTTCATTTTATATTTGTATTTTTCGAGCTTGTGATACTGAGGAGTAATGTGAGACTGTCAATCAAAGCTCTGCACTTTTGTGTTCTCACTCCTTCCACCTAGAAACAGGCTGACATGGTTGGCACTAATCAAAGGCCCAAACCTGTCTGAGAGAGCCATAACAGCAGACCCAATGGTAAGACAACTGAAAACCTATTGGCGTAATCATTACTTATCATTAAAATGGTGTAAAAA